AGCCTCCATGTTATGAATTCATGGGCTATGACATGCTTGTCAAATAACGATGTTGAACATGTTTATCATGCAATTGAGTTTCACGCCTAACATTATTTATTTATTTTCTTTTTTTCAAATAAGGAGTTCCACACCTAACATTCGACCATATATATATATATATGTATTAAAACTGGAAGAAGAAAGACCTCATCCGCTGTAAAACTATGTCATCTTCATCGGATAAGTAGCTAAGCTTAGTAAAGGGCATTAGAACAACATGCCACAATGCTGTATGAAGTTCACATCTAATGTTAATGAGTTTCAACCATCGATTGCTCTTGAGAAAGTTAACACCTAGTTTCTCGTTGCAACGATCAATGGTTACCCTCAAGACAGTTCCAAGAGGCGGCAAGGTACAGAGAATATCTCTTGGCAATGGTGAGTTAACTGACTGCAATGGAAGTGGGTTTTCCAATTCTTCTTCTAGCCTGTAATTCATGAAACAATAGGCCACAGCGTATCAGAACAGGTACCAAATCATCCATAATGTATGTAAAAGCTTTCTTGGGAAGAAGCAGTATGCAGATATTCAGTGAACCACTCTGAATGTACTTAGTTCAACAGAGGTTATATTTAAGGCCAGTAAAGTACTGGAAGAAGGCCAGATATTTAAGGATGATTTGAGGTTTTAGTTCCCATTGTATTTTCTTTGACCTTTCAAGTTATCTGAATTTCAGTTATCCAGGTACTTTGGTGATACTCATTAAGATCAGGAAGTAACCAGGTATGGCTATTAGTTAGTTTGCATCAACTCAGTCTTTTGGGTGGCATTGAATTAAATTGGTAAAAATTAAAAGTTAAGCTTGAAATATTATTAAGCGTTTCAGAGTTAGACCTATCGAATTATGTTCTTAAGCCCAATTCCTAACTTGTTTCAATAACTCTGCTATTGTGTTGAGAGTGAACAGCATTAAATTAGTACAGATATCTCCTAGTGTTCTAATTACGAAATACGTAATAGCGTATTAAAAAGATATAGTTTCCACCTAAAACAAATTTCTGTTCAATGGTGACAGTAGATAAAGGAAATCTCTTTCCAACAAAGAGCCTAATATAACTTATTGCAAGCACAAAGTGGTCATATAACTAATTCAGATATCCGGGGAATCCATCAATCACTCCTGCACAAGTATCTCATATCAAGCGGGAACTAATTAAAACATTTCTACTAACATCACAAGCTTATTCCTAGCACAAAGCCTGATCGAAAAGTAGAAAATCTCACTTTGTTTTGATAGTGACTGGTGGAGTATCCGTTCCATCCCACACGAGAAGCATCCACTTATCTTTTTCAACTTCACATATATGAAGAATCTTGCATATGCCAACGTAATTTGCAATGGAAGTGTTAGTGAATTTGAATGTAGTGTCAATATCCAAGAACATGTGACCCACACTGTGCTTGCCAACATATTCCAGATACATTTAAGGACAAAACTTATGTTAAGGACACATAACTACCTTGCAGATCAAATTGAAATGTTCTCCTTCTCTGATCTCTTTCAAGGAATGTAAATCAGTCAAACCTATCAAGAAACGGAAAGTGTAAGCATATTCTGAGGGAGACACGAAAATTCAAACAACAAAATAAAAAAAGAAAAAGAAAAAACACTACCAGAATATAAATGGCATCTGTTTGTTCTCTTTTTCTTTTTTCCCATTAGTTTTAATGGAGGCAAGGGAGATAAGGAAGGGATTCTGCAATTGGATCAATCATTTAAAGCAAAATTGATGTTTCAAAGAGTAATCAATATATTGAAGGATAGGGTTAATGTTAACTGAGATTATGTGAGAGGCTGTAGCAACTAGATAACTACATGTAAATGTGCCGCACATATACCGAACACCTTTTATGGATCCATTATTTGTCTTGACATGTCTGTGTCGAACAAGTGCGACAAGGGTACTTCATGAAATTCATTGAACTATATGTACCTGTACATCCATAATGGATATGTACTCCTAGACGAACTTATCAACATAGGAAACATTTTTTTATGCAACCTTCATCAGCTAAATAAATAATCATTATGTACTTAGCCCGGACTTCTGTTATAAGCATCACCCTGAAGTTGGCAATGCTGATGAGAATACCTGTATCAATCTGGTGATCGTCCAACCACTTCATCAGACCCAGTATAAATTTCTTGTCTTGTTCTCTAGCATGATACTTTAAAGAACATTGGTAAGGAAGGAAACTTGAGTTATCTTTTCGGTCAAATATTGCAAATGAAGAGAACTTCTTGTTGAACAAAGCATAAATCTCCGGTCCATGAGTTTTCATCTGCAGACCCACAAAAACCATTTGTAAGGATTGACACCATATTTTTATTTCCAGAAAATAATACTTAAGAGCAATAAAGTTCATTCAATCAGGACAAAATCATGCATTCAGTTTGTTGTCCAATCCAGTAACTTTATCTATTTCCTTGAGAAATTGACTTTTATTTGTTCCCACTTGGCCTTTGCCAAATATTTATAATAGTAGATTCATAAGTAGTTCAGAATCCAGATATAACAATGTCTAGCAGATAGAAGGGCTATGAAAACAAAGTTATCAATGTACTTCAATCAACTTTGAGAAGCAACAAACATTTCTCCTCTAAAGAGGATAAAGGAAAAACTTCCAAGTGGCATAAATATCCATCAAGTGATGGCCTAACTGCAAAGGCAGCTCCTCCTAACCCAGCAATGAATAAAAGTCAAACCCACAAAAAGGAACGATGCAATCTCTGCTTAGCTGCTTCTGTTTAAAGGAGAATAGCTGAATCCTGACGGATGCCAAAACATCAATCAACCGTGGTTGGAAATTGAGTTGATCATTTAATTGAATAAAAATATCATGAGCTGGTCGATAGAAAGGGCTCAAGTTACATTTTGAAGTTGTTCCAAACTTTTGGGTTGGGAAAGGAGTACATATACCCTTTTGAAGTTCTAGACAATGCCAATTGTAACTCCATGTCTAAGCCTTGTATAATGTGGTGCATAGTTTTTAAAAGAAAATTCAGTTCATTTAAACATTTATTTCAGGGTTTAATAACTCTGTATCTAAGTTCAAGATTTACATTACATGTAAAACTGATAAAAGAAATGAACCAATACCCACAGGGCTACAAGCAAATATTAGAGCAAATTAGTTACCACAACTTGAGAAAGCTGAATTATATCACCAAAAGTCAGCACTTGAGGAAGCTTGTCCATAGTCGCAGCGAAAAAATTAACTGAAATGCCAGGGCTTGGATAGGACTCATCAATTATCTTAATGGTGCAAAAACAATCTACAAAATACAAACAAAAGAAACCAAAAATCAAGCCTAAAAATTCATTTCACACAATGCTGTGGAAAAAAAGAAACAGCTTCAGGATATTAACTACCGCTACATATCCCAAATATGTGATGTGTAGAGCATACACAGCATGATGTTCAACAACTCAATGAACCTTGTGCAAGTGTTGGTGCTACACATAAGCAGCTAAGAAACAGATATCTTTAGCTGATGGTTCATTCTAGTTATTGTATAGATTGGTGCATTTAAATTCTTTCAATAGTATTCAGTTTTAGATATTCTTGTTGTTCAAAGATATATACACGTGTATCCGTTAGGACAGCAATCGAGAAATGAGAATTTGATTCTCATTTTCCCGCTTCGTTTTATTAGCTCAGTGATAAGAGAACATTTTCAAGCAAATATTTTTTAAGAAAATTAGAGCTTTCATGGCACCAGAAAGTACAGTAAAAAAAAAATTAATAAACCCTAAAGTGAAATATTTAAATACGTGTAGAGAATATTGTAGTCAAATAAAGAATTATTCAACTATAAGACGGAAGGAAAAAGAGTATTTGAGAAGAAAGAAAGACCAGTGCCCTTGGACTGCTTGGGGAGACCGGTTTCGATAACGACGCCGATGAGATTCACTTTCTGATTCAGTGCAGCTCTGGCATCTACTATTTGTAGGAACTTGTAGTCATCTCGGCTACTTCTGCGACCCATTTTTTGAAGAAACTTTGTGTAAACACAGCCACCGAGGTAATAGTGCTCTTCGCCAGGAATTTTAGGGCGCCAAAATGTTCATTCTGATCAGTGCGCTCCACACACTCATATTTAAACTATAAGTTTTATTTTGTGTTTTGTACAAATTATAGTCAACTAGTTGTATGAGTCTCCTTTTTGTCAATTAAATTTGTGTAACCCAATCTTACATTTTTTGATCCACAGAAATTTGGGTCCACAAAACTGTGACACAAAAAAGTTGTCTCATATAACTAGTGTCAGTTGTATGACACAAAATAAAATTTTTCCATTTAAACACACATTCTAATATATGCACTATAATTATTATTTTATTATAATATTGGACTTAGCTGTTATGTTACTTTTGTTTTGAATATTAAAGGACAATAAGCATGTATATTAGTAGCATTTACAACATTTTAAAATTTGTAATATCATTCACAAGTAATATTATATTATTTCAGAGGACTTCTAATGCTTATAAGTATTACTTTATTATGAATAGTAGTAAAGTAAGTTTCTAAAATCAGTTTATTTTGAAAAGTATTTTTTAAAAAAAGTATGTGTGTTTTCAAAAAAGTATTTTTCGGGGAAAAACTATTTTTTTCTCGTCAAAAACACTTTTTTTTTCCTTTCAAAAGTTTGGCCAAATAACTTAATTTTAGGGAAAACGCACTTTTGCCTAAAAAAAAACTTGGTCAAACAAACAGGCTATAAGTAGGCAGAAGATGATCAACCGTCTGCTTCATATTTTATGTTGCGAGTTGAGAAGAGAGAACAAGGACCAAATATTGGGTTTTCTGTTTTCATTTGGAGGAAAGATAAAAATTAAAATTTGGCTCTTCTACCGCCCATTGCTTATAATTGCCGGCAAATAGGGATCTTCTCCTAATATTTGAGGTTTGGAAATAAATTGCTGGGAATTAATTAGTTGATGCTAAATAATTGCCAGTAAAACTACTTTTTGTTGTAGTGAGTAAAGACTATATTTGACCTGAATCTACAAAATTGTTCAGGGATCAGTAAGATGCTTCTACAACATAACTTTCTCCATCTTCAGGTAGTCACTAGAGGAACAGATCCTTTAAAAGGAAGCATACAAGAGTAGGTGACATACTTCACACTATCTATCAATACAACAACAAAAATCCTAGAGATGGATTTTGGTCCCATCATTCCATCACCATCAGCATCACCTGCCTCTCTTGGATCAACTAGCACAGAGACAACCATTGAAGAAAGTGAATTATTTCCAGTAAAGTCATCGTTCTTTCCACTTCCTCCAACATGTTCTTCAGAAATGCTGTGAGTTACTCCCGAAACAGGAACAGAAAGACTATTAAGGATCCTTCTATTTCTCCCCTTGTTGGTGCGTGTAGTAGCATTCTGCCTCTGCTTCATAGAAACGTTCCTCGCAGTGGTAACAGGAACTATGCCTCCTGGAGATGAGGACACATCAAACTGGAACACTTCAGTACACATGCCTGAACTTAACATAGGCTCTGCACAAAAGAGAAAAGGAAAACATTAAATAGTTGGGCAGGGGGAGGCTGCTGCGAACACGAAACAGAGCCAAAATGCCCTATTTATATTTGATTGAGACATGTGCCCTCAATAGGAGGCTATAGTCAGATTAGAAATATAAGGCGCCATTGCATAAACAGCAACCCAGAAATGGATTGTAGGAGTAGAAAGTAATCCCTGTTATACAAACCGTGTATGTTATGAAAGCAATTATTTAGAAGACAGCAACTTATAGTTGGATTTGGCTCTGTCGACATTGGTTTAGTTAAGAGAAAAAGGTGCGAGAGAAAGATCTCTACCCTATTAAAAAAGGACTAAGGACAAATATAAGACCAATTTTTTTGATAAGGTAATAATCAACAATATGTAATCAAACAAATGATGTATAATAAAATGAGATTTATCAGCACTTACCAGCAACACCTTCAAGGAACCATTGCTGCACAGTGGACTTTGCTTTCTCTTTATCCCCAGAGCCAAGAGCCCGTTTTCCATCAGTAGGACTGCGGTAATGATGGGAATGCCTTCCTGGGATGGCAGGGGCCAAATCTCCAGGAACCGCAAGACCGGTCTCACCCCTGTTTTTCTTATCTTCACTTCTATGAGATGCCATGGCTTTCTCACTTGCCAAAACAGAATGAATGATCAAGTTTCCATCAATCTTCACAAGTTTATCATTCCTGGGAACATACAATGAGGCCATTAGAGGCTCACTATCATTGCCCGAGCGAACAAACTCATCTGTGCCGCTATTGAAATTTGGCTGACCATCTCCTCCCTGACCTCTCCGACCACAATTAGTGCCATAATCCCTCCCATTGTGTTTCCGTGAATAACTACTCCCATTCACTTGCCCATCAACAGCCAAAACTCTTCCACGATGCCTTTCATTGTGCCCACTTCCAGAAAGATCTCCACTTGTAAAAGGTTCTCTCACTCCTCCGTATCTCATATTTATCACAGGAACTAATCCACCAAATAGGAGCATGAAGAACAACAAGCCAAGGAAACTAACACTCGCAACCTTCTTGGTTTTCATCTCACTCTTCTTAATCTCTACTTTCTTACTACCCTTGGGTGCAGGAGCCGCAGCTTGTGGTTTCAACCTAGGAATAGGAACCAAAGGCACTTGTGATCCTTGTGGCTTCACCATATAAGGAGGAGCACAAGGCATCCAAGGATACATCACGGGGTACATCCCAGGGGGGGGTGGTGGCATCTGGGAAGGCACTGGTCCCATCTGTGACCTTAAGGTGGCATTCTCGGACATTATGTATGATATCTTAGCATTCAGATCTTGAATAGTTGAATGCATAGTCCTCACCTTATCCTCTAACTCCTCAACGTAATGCTTTTTCCTTTGCCTAGAAAGCTGAGCACTTTCCCTATTCCTCATCAATCTTGCTTTTCTCTTTTCATCCCCTCCTTCACTATTAAACACATTGCTACATTCAGCCACATAATTAGATTTTTGGTATTTGCTTACATTATTTGAATCTTCTTCACTCACTTTTTTCCTCTTCAATATGGAGCTACACTTATTATCTTTTGTATTCATCATTTCCTCTAATTTAATTATGTTCTGTTCTACTACTACTACACATTTTATGGGAGAAGAAGTTACCGATTTGCTGGGATAATTGAAAGCTTCTTCAGAGACATGGGAGCCACAATTGCCAGAACCCTGCGACTCCGGTGAAGGGCAGTTCGAATCATGGGAACCCTCCTTGCTGTCATTTCCAGAATCCTCGTGATTAGACCCATTGGACTCGGGAGGAGACGGCACATTCAGGTATCCAGAGACATCTGAGATTTGGTTCGAAACTGCAGTCATAACAAGGGACCCACTCGAAGCTTGACCTCCGGAGCTATGACACGCCTCGGACGTACCTCCGGCGACGGAAACATGACGCAATTCCGGAGACGACTTGAAAACCCGAGAAGAATCGTTAAAACCTTGGATCAGCTGGTGACCAAACCCTTTTGGGTCAATCTGACCCGCTTCAAGAGAATTGGAGTTGTTGAGAATGGCAGCATCATCAGGAGGGAAGATGATATCTAAGTCAAAGTCGAGGTCATCGAACATGAATTCGTTGTTAAATGCTTCATCACAAATGCTGTTACTACTGTTATTGCTGTTTCCTTGGTCCAGAGGTGGATCCAAGGCACCGGCAAAGTCGTTCGCCGGCGGCACATATGGATCGGCCTCCAATGGATTTGCCATTTCTCGGGCACAGATCCAAATAAGTGAGTATATGGAAAGTGAGATTGCAGAGAGAGAGAGAGGGTTTATGTTTTAGGACCTAAAGTATGGGTTTTAAGTTTGTTACACTTATTTGACGTAAGGTAAACGGTACGTTACACTCGCTTCTCACGCTTTGATGAAGGATGTGAATTTCACGCTCTTGGTTATTTTTATAGATAATATGTCAAACTTTCTCCTCAAAATTTGCAATAAAACATCGAACGTAAGACAATTATGAACTATACCGGTATGAACCAAAATTTGAAAAGAACTTTTGTTTTCATCTCCAATGTTTGATCAGTTTGCATGGAGATTTCAAACAAACCGTGAAAGTACAAGAGGGAGTCAATTGTTATTTTTTTTTTGTGACTAGGTAATTGACTGATTTGCCAATTAGTCGACTAAGATTAGATGCAAGGTAAATAGTAAATACAAAAAGTAAAAATACAAAGTAAATGATATCGGAGATTTTTATACTGGTTCGTATTCAATGTGAATCTTAGTTCAGTCCCCTTGGATTGCAAGAGGGTTCTCATTTCAAGTTCCTTGAAATTTTTCGATATAAGTGAGTTGATGTTGTCAAGCATACATCAACTGCTTCTCAGAACACAAGTGAATTTCTACAATTTTGATACAATTCATCTCCGGTGATCTTTCTCTTTTTCTTCTATTCACTAATTACACAGTAAATCTACAACACTCTACAATGGTTGTTTGGAGTAGAACAAAAAGCTTGAAGTTGGTTCGATCAAAGTATTTTTTATAGAGCCTTTGACTATATATATATATATATATATATATATATATATATACCCATATATATACCCATATATATATATATATATATATGACACAAAATACAACATATAATGGAAATACAACAAGAGAAATGTACCCATATACAGATACAAAACAACTAAAACAGAATAATATAAGTTTCTGCAGATCAACTGTGTATATAACACAAATTTATGACAAGAATGAATATAAAAAGAAAAAATATAAAAAACATAAACCTCAATATAATAGGGGATATACTAGAAAAAATTATTATCTTAGAAAATTATCAGCTAGAAAACCATAAAAATAGTGATAAGAATACAGAAAAAATATGTGTTTACCAAAGTGGTAAATATAGAGAAAAAAGAAATATGAGTAGTGTCACAACTCATTTCCATAATAGGTCATGATGGTGCCCAACACCATTATCGGGCAAGTCAACGTGGAAGATACTAAATAAGCTCTCATTTACTTTTATCCAAAAATAGTTTCAATGATTCCTTAAGTTATAATAAAATCAGAAATGATCGGTAAAGCCGAAAATAATCATACAACCCAAAAATAATACGATCTACTAATATGTGTGCCAAGACCTGGTGTCACAAGCTATGGGCAACTAGTAAAATATACAAAAGAATCACACTATCCTACTATCCGAAACAGAATAGACAACAAAAATACATAAGAGAGACTCCTTCAGACTGCTGAACGACATGGGAAGGGAAGCAGGTCACCGTAGAATTCTCAAAATCCGCTCAATGATGCGCACCAGACTGATAGCCAGATACACATGCCTCAGATCATGTACAATTAAGTACAGAAGTGTAGTATGAGTACATAAACAATATGTACCCAGTAAGTATCCCGTTTCTCGAAGAAGTAGAGACAATAGGTCGACTTGATACTTACTAGGGTCAAATAATATGAGAAAAAGAATTTATAATAAACATGGATAACACAATTTAATAACATTGTATGGCAGGGATTGTCAGTTCTTCTTCCAAATAATATCATGGGTATCCATTTACGTTTCAAGGCATACATGAAGTTCAATCAACAGAGAAATACTAAGTAAGCATGCGCAAGTAACACCGAGGGACGTACGACCCGATCCAACATAAAAGTAAATTGTGCACTACCGAGGGTCGAATGGCTCGAACCATATATGCATCTATTACCCTGCTCGCGAATCACACGTGCGACGCGGTCAAATATAAATAAACTCATCAACAAGCAGACAATAATGTATATCTGGGGAGTAGTTATTCACAGGAATATTCAAGTTCTCTTTTAAAAGACCAAGCAAGATAAGGTTCCTCTACTAATCTCATTTACCTTAATCAACATAATTTATACGAATCCAAATTTATCATCAAGTTACAAGAATATTATGTAGAGCATGCTTTTGGGCCCTAGACTACCCGGACTTAACATAATAGTAGCTACGCACGGACTCTTATCACCTAGTGCATACGTAACCCCCGCATATAATAGCAATTAATTTAATTATTATACCTATGGGGACAATTCCCTCTTACAAGGTTAGAAAGGAGACTCACCTCGCTCCACAGTGCACTTCCAATATCAAGAACGAGTCCAAACCCTCAATTTGGAGCCGAACGATCCCAGACTAGTTAAATGAGGTAGGAACTAGTCAATATAAACTCACAAGATCGAATTCTAAAACCTTTAACACAAGTTTCCTAAAACACAAGTTTCCTAAAACCCGACTCGGGGCCCACGTGCCCGGATTCTGAAATCTCTCGAAGGAACTTGTTCTCTATAACCTAAGGATCAATAATATATGATTTCTAATTCATTCCATAACAAATTTCGTGGTTATATCTAACTTTTATTAAAAACCCTAGGTTTTGCTCTAACCACTTGATTTACCTAAATTCTAGTGTTTAATCTACCTAAAACACAAGTATTAAACTAAGAATTAGTGGGATAGACTTACCTCAAGATGGTAGGTGGAAGTCTCTTCTCAATAGCTCCCAAAATCGCCAATGGAGGAGTGAAAAGTGGTAAAAATTGACTTAGAACCATATTAAATGAAGCTTACTGCTTCAGCGATTTCCGCATCTGCGGTCAGGGGACCGCATTTGTGGTCCTGCATCTGCGAGAAAGGACCGCATATGCGAAAAAGGGCCTAAAGGGCTGGGACCGCTTCTGCGGTCTTGAGGCCGCTTCTACGGTTTGGCCTGGCCTTCCCTAGGTCGCATCTATGATAGATGGCCCGCATCTACGGTCTCGCACCTACGGTCCACCGATCGCAGGTGCGGTTATGACAGAAGCAGCAGCTTCAACACTTCTCAAAATTTTCAATTTCACTCGAGCCTCGTCCGATTGATGCTCGGGGCACCCGGGCTCCGCCGAACATACCGACAAGTCTGAAATCATGAAACGAACCTACTTGAACCTTCAGAATGCTCGAAATAATGCTAAATCTAAGAATCATCCCCTAAAACCAATTGAATCAAACTTATGAACTTCAAGTTCTTAATTTTCCTCTAACGGGCCAAAACTCCATTAAACTACTCGAATTGACACCAAATTTTGCGGGCAAGTCTTAAATGTTATTTCGGACCTGTACCGGGCTTCGAAACCAATATACGAGCCCGATACCCATGTGATCAATCATTAGTTAGTTTCTTTATATCCTTAAAACTTCAGATTAACAATTTCTAATAAAAATTCATTACTCGGGCTAGGGACCTCGGAATTCGATTCCGGGCATACGCCCAGGTCCATATTTTCCTATGGACCCTCTGAGACCGTCAAATCCTGAATTCGGGTCCGTTTGCTCAAAATGTTGACCAAAGTCAAACTGAGCCTTTTAAGAAAATCCTAAAGAATCAAATGGGCATATTTCGCTCTAAATTCTTCCAAATCCCGAACCAACCATCCCCGCAAGTCGTAAATTAGCTAAAGCAAGCGCAGGAAGTTTTGTTTTAAGGGAACAGAGTTCTAAAAGGCAAAAACGACCAGTCGGGTCGTTACATTCTCCACCTCTTAAACAAACGTTCGTCTTCAAACGGACATAGAAAAGTACTTGAGCTGCTGAATAAATGTGGATATCTGCTCCGCATGACCTCCTCGAACTCCCAAGTCGCCTCCTCGACTGGTTGGCCCCTCCATTGGACCCTCACCGCAGAAATTCTCTTGGACCTCAACTGGCGATCCTGTCTATCAATAATGGCAACTAGCTCATCCTCATAACCCAAATTCTTATCTAGCTAAATAGTACTGAAGTCTAACACGTGGGACAGGTCGGCATGATACTTCCGAAGCATCGATACATGAAAAACTAGATGAACTCCCGATAAGCTGGGGGTAAAGCTAGCTCGTAAGCAACCTCCCCAACTCGCTTCAACACCTCAAATGGGCCAATAAACCTTGGGCTCAGCTTGCCTTTCTTCTCGAATCTCATAACGCCCTTCATTGGCGAGACTTTCAATAGGACCTTCTCGCCAACCACGAATGATGCATCACACGCCTTCTGATCCGCGTAGCTCTTCTGTCAGGACTGAGCTGTGCGAAGCCTTTCCTGAATCAACTTTACCTTGTCCAAGGCATTTTGTACCAAATCTGTACCATATAACTTAGCCTCCTCACCAGGTTCAAACCACCCGATAGGAGAACAACAACGTCGACCATATAAAGCCTCGTATGGAGCCATCTCTACGCTGGACTGATAGCTGTTGTTGTACGTAAACTCTGCCAAGGGCAAGAACTGATCCCACTGCCCTCCAAAATCAATCACACATGCTCTAAGCATGTCCTCCAAAATCTGAACTGTACGCTCCGACTGCCCGTCAGTCTGTGGATGAAATGTCGTGCTAAGCTCCATGCGGGTTCCCAACTCACCCTGAACAGCTCTCCAGAAATGCGAAGTGAACTGAGGGCCTCTATCTGATATGATGGAAACAGGTACACCGTGTAATCAGACTATCTCTTAAATGTAGATCTGAGCATACCTCTCTGATGTATAAGTAGTCGCTACCGGAATAAAGTGGGCCGACTTGGTCAACCTGTCAATAATGACCCATACTGAATCAAACTTCCGCAAAGTCCGGGGCAACCCAACTACGAAATCCATGGTAATGCGCTCCCACTTCCACTCTGGTATAGGCATCTGCTGAAGTAGGCCACCTAGCCGCTGGTGTTCATACTTGACCTGCTGACAATTCAAACACCTAGCTACATACTCCACTATGTCTTTCTTCATCCTCCGCACCAATAATACTGCCTCAAGTCACGATACATCTTCGTAGCTCCCGGATG